TATCAAACATTCAACACTGCACTCGATGTTAGTGGTGCTATAATCATATACCATTAAATATACTTGTTATTAGCTCACCCAGACCAATTTATGTTTACAAGTCATCAAATGGCTTCTTTTATTTTTTTCTCCTTTTCTTTTTAAATGGGTTTCTGTATAGAAAGATCAATATAAGAAAGAAATCGAAGCTTCTGTATAGTCTTAGCTTTTGCTTTTATGACTTTCGAACCACTTCACATGATAGCACACCACATTCCCTCTGTTCAAATTAAATTCACCAAATTTTAACAAGAAATGAAAACAAAACTAAATTATTGTTGAGAATGAATAAAAATCTAAGCTTTTTAAATAGACCTTGGAAGAGGTACTTAGAGATTTCTCTCCGATTTGAGATTTACCTTTTCAGCGAATGCACGACAAAGAGATTCGTAAGAGTTGTGAGAGGGGAGAGCATAGACGAGAGAAGAGAGAAGGGAGAGAAACAAGGTCAGAATCGATGAGCTCAATAAAACAAAATTAAAAGGGGAAGATGCTTTGTGAAGTATGCATAATCTGGCCATCAACACCCTCAGAACTTGACGTCCTTGCCATTGGGCGGCTGCTTTCTTTTCATTGAGCTAAGCGGCCACAACAACCGGTTTGCCAGCTTTTTAGGTGATTTTTTTTTACACTTTATTCGAATTTAGTGTAATCGACACATGTGAAATTTATGTGGGGTGTTTTCAATCCACTTTATAATACGTATACATATATCAGTAGTTGTCTCAAGCATCTAATACCATGTGAGTAGAATTAGACTCCATGGACTCATCCACGTTGTCCATGTATTGGTTTTGATAGGATGGTGGGTTGTGTGAGAGAGAGAGAGAGAGAGAGAGAGAGAGAGAGAGAGAGAGAGAGAGAGAAGGATGGTAGAGATTAGTGCATGTGGTAGATTGTGATATTATCTGACAACGTCTAGTAGTTACTGAAATTGCTTCGAAGTCATTATTTGGCTTGACGTGCTGCTGTGGGATTGAACTATTTACCCCACAACTTACTCAAATTGACTTGGAAGTCTTTGCATGCAAGAATGGAATGGCTTGACGTGCTGCTGTGGGATTGAACTATTTACCCCACAACTTACTCAAATTGACTTGGAAGTCTTTGCATGCATGAATGGAATGGCTTGACGTGCTGCTGTGGGATCCACAACTTACTCAAATTGACTTGGAAGTCTTTGCATGCATGAATGGAATGGTGGGAACGAAGAAAGAAATAGAAGGTTTGACTGGCTGCTGGAATGGTGGGAAGGAAGAAAGAAAGAGAAGGTTTGACTGGCTGCTGGAATGGTGGGAAACTCATATCTGAATTCTCATTTACTCCTATATAAAGGGCATCCCTGTACCAGATTTTGCAATTGAATCACTTCAAAATTTGATTTTGACATTTACACACTTTGTATAAAATTTGGCCCAATTTTGCGGCTCTTTACCCTAGATCACCTTTATTTCTCCTTATATCACCCTAGGGTCATGACTACATTGGCCACACTTCTTTTCTCTTTTTCTTTTGATTTTTTTTTTCTTTAGCTCATTTATTGCCTTGAATACAATCTGAAATACAATCATACTCTACATGTCCCCTAGATGGTAGGATGTTTAATGGATGATAAGGTGATAGAAAGAAATGGCTAAGTGTTTGGGCACAAAAGGGTTTACAATGGAATATGTATTGTATGGGTTGATGGAGGAAAAAGAAAGAGGCTTAACAAAGATGGCCTAAATCATATCTTAGTTATAAACTTGACAT